TCAATCTATGTTGATGAAGCTGAACAAGTCCTAACATTCAAGCAGTTTAAATTGAATAGCATTTGTCGGACTCCAGTATTTGCAGTAGACGATATGTGCATCCTCTCCTTCATGTCAACACGCGTCATTAAGATGAAGGTTGACTCATTTAAAAAGACTACACTGAAAATACAAGCTCTGAAACATCAGCTAAAGACAGAAAAACTGCAATGAATAACACAAAACTGAGTTCTTGCTCTACTTGGAAAAAGAACTGTAGACAGACAGATAATACAAAATTTTACTAACAGTTATCTCAGTGATCAGAAAGAACAGAATCAACCGTCACAACAGCCTAAAATCTCAAGAAGAACACAACGACCGGCTCGACATAAATCTCAAACAAACTTGGCACATGTATCTGTGACAGTCTGAGTTTCTGTTAAGAGCCTGGAGGGGACTCAAACCCTGAAACTGTTCTCCGAGAGAGGAGACAGTAAAAAAATGTTTAGCTCTTTCTTGTGGCTTTTTAATGGTAACCAGTTGAACTGGGGTGGAGCAAAACAGGTAAGAATTTGGTTAAAGTTCCTTTAGAGAAGGAACATTTTGTCCTTGTTAAGGAGGACAGAGATGAGGGTGATGAACGAGGGAGCAATCAGGCCAACAAGCATGAATAGTTGGAAAGCTGCCAAATTATTGACATAGCTACGAGAACATAAAAAAAGAACCATCAAGTTTACTCAACTCAAACAAACAAAAAAGGGGTTAAAACAACGACCTGTGATGTGATCTGAAGCCAGGAGAACATCTGGGAGGTACAACTTACAAACACAAAGAACAACAGAGTAACATAAGCTCCTAACAAAGAGCGGCTGAAACACTTTCTGCTGAGAGAATAATGTTCCCGTCAGAAACACAAACACCTGAGCACCTTGAACTCTTGTTTCATGGTTATATTGACAGTAAACAACCATCATCTTTACACGCTTCTTTCCAGGTCGTGCAGTCACTGTGCCAGAGGTGGAGGACACCTGGCCAGGTCTCCAGTCCATCACAGGGACACCTGGCCAGGTCTCCAGTCACAGGGACAGACTAACAAGAAAAAAAACATTCACTCTCTCACTCACACAATTTATGACCCTTTTCCACCACTCCTACTCAGCCCCAACTCTGCTCAGCTTGCCACTGAAACAACGTTATTCCACTAGTATTTTTAGCTGATTCAGCCCTTTTTTAGTGACTGCTTCTCTGGTGGGACTGTTCGAGCAGAGTCTGCACCTAAACGTGACGTCAGAACAGTCGGTCACTGATTGGTCAGGGGGAGGAGTCACTGGATCTCGAGGTTTTGTTCACGAGTGAAGGAAGAATGGAGCATGAGATTGACAGACGGATTGGTGCAGCATCTGCAGTATTGCGGACTCTGTACTGGTCCGTTGTGATGAAGAGAGAGCTGCAAGATAAAGCTCTCTGTTTACCGGTCAGTCTACGTTTCTACCCTCACCTATGGTCACGAGCTCTGGCTAGTGACCAAAAGAATGAGATCATGGATACAGGAGGTTGAAATGAGTTTTCTCCGCAGGGTAGCTGAACTCTCCCTTAGAGAGAAGGTGAGAAGTTCAGTTATTCGGGAGAGACTCGGAGTAGAACCGCTACTCCTCCACGTCGAGGGGAGCCAATTGAGGTGGTTCAGGCATCTGGTAAGGATGCCCCCTGTGCGCCTCCATAGAGAGGTGCTTCGGGCATGTCCAACTGGGAGGAGACCCCGGGGAAGACCCAGGACATGCTGGAGAGAATAAGTCTCTCGGTTGGCCTGGGAACATCTTGGAGTCCTCCCAGAAGAGGAGGCTGTGGAAAGAGATGTGTGGGCCTCCCTGCTCAAGCTGCTGCCCCGCGACCCGACTTTGGAACAAGCGGAAGATCATGGATGGATATTTTTGCACAATTTATTTTTATGCATCCAAGTTATTTTATCTGTTGTTTGTTGTTGATCTTGCATTACAAATTAATTTGAACATAACCGCTGCAATTCTTTGGAACCAAAGAAATAAACCAGATGACGATGTAAAATACTGTTTTTTATTCTTTTAGTACCACTATATTTACATACAGGGTAAACAGAGCTGTCAGAGTTGCAATGAGTTTGTTAGGGGGGTGAATGATCTAATCATCTGACTGTTGATTGCAGTAATTCACATTGTTAGCAGAAATAGAAGGCCGCAAACCAAAATTACGCTTAGGGCCCCATGGAGGCTTACACCGGCACTGCCTGGAGAAAACCCATGCAGCACAGAGAGAACAGCAAACTCCACCCAGAAAGGTCCCCGGTCGGGATTTGAGCCGGCGACCTTCTTACTGAGAGGCTGCAGCTCTACAGTTATATTCTACCATGTTGTGTTTACTATATTTCTTCTGGAACTTGTAGATGTACTTCTTGTTCCACTTTTTATTTGGCGAGTCGAGACTTTTCTTCTTGTTCTGAGCATTTCATTGTTGACCTTGTGTTGACCTGCACATACAAGACAATAAACCAAACTACCAAATGAGCCACTGAGCATCCATCCATCATCTTTACCCTCTTCTTACTTTCCGGGTCATGTGGGCCACCACTGTGCCGAACACATTTTGAAAAGAGCCAACACTGAGTAAACTGACCCCACCCTAGAGAAATGTAAAAAAAAGAAAAACAGCCCGGGGTGATTTGTTCTGATGTGTTCCTGTCAACAGACTCGCCTCAGGACTTCCGTCAACTGGAGCGAAAAGAAAAAACCTGTTTTTATTAGAGCTCAAGTCACATCCAACACGTCAATCATCTTCTGAAACGTTTAAAGTTTGGTTTAGAACTGTGTTTGCGTTAAGGCTGGACTAACATCTTGTGTAAAGCATTTACTAAATGTTCTTCACCTGTGAAGAGTTGTTCTCTAAATATCTTTCGTGTCGCTGAAGGTGCTGCTGGACGTAAAGTGGGGTTTAGATGCATATCAACACATTTAGAGGCAGATAAACTGAGCTGTGCAGCTTCTTCCATCCCCTGAGGCGCCATCTGCTGCCACCTGTCGAGCTGTGTGTGTACATGTACTAGTACTCCTATATTTACAAAAAAAATTACATAAAATAAAATGTTACTGTGGTAGATAACCAATCACTCAAAACAAGCCTTGGGTGCACAACAAGTGTGCATTTCCCTGACACAAGGCCAAAAGTATACATACAGGCTCCAATATCTACAGAGAACTGGAAGAAGCAGAAATGAAGATGTTGAGGTTCAGAGTGACAAGGATGGAGAAAATCAGGAATGAGATCACCAGAGGTTCAGCACAGGTTGAACAACTGGGAAATAAAGTTAGAGAGACCAGACTGAGATGGTTTGGACACGTCCAGAGGAGGGACAGTGGTTTGGACGCATCCAGAGGGACAGTGGATGGACTCGCTGTGGAGACCTCTGAAGAGGGAACAGCCGAAAGAAGAAAAATCATGAAGCTGCTCATGATCGGTGTATGTAAACTTCTGACTACAACTGTAGAATTCAGAAACATTTTACTCGACTCATCCAGTCAGAAAACATTAAAAGTAAATTTAAACTTTAAGATCGCACAGAATCACTAATAATGAATCACTAACAATGAATCACTAATAATGAATCACTAATAATGAATCACTAACAATGAATCACTAATAATGAATCACTAACAATGAATCACTAATAATGAATCACTAACAATGAATCACTAACAATGAATCACTAATAATGAATCACTAACAATGAATCACTAATAATGAATCACTAATAATGAATCACTAACAATGAATCACTAATAATGAATCACTAATAATGAATCATAATTTGTTCTAATAAAACCAGTTGTAATGAACAGACATGTAGTTATATGAACAGTCAGGCTGTCGTCTCTGACCTCTAATTTAACTTTAGTCAAATCTTTGTGAGCAAAAGCAGTGAATTATAAAAATAATAAAAATAAAACTGGACCAGTCAGCTGCTGCTGCTCCGGACGTTAAAAGGCAGCTCCTGATTCTTCTCTGAAAGGGCACAAAACATTTGTTGGACAGAATACTTTAGTCTTTTTTTACACGTCACAAGTTTGTTGTAAAATGAAGAAAAATACACAACTTAATACAAAAGATGAAACTGGAGGAGACGACGATATAAATGAAATTCACACGAGCTAAACATAATAATAATAATAATAATAATAATATTACGTTGATTCTCCGGTGCATAGTGAGCGTTGTTTGACAGGAAGCAGCTTCCATACAGGAAACACGACTACAACAATAAAAGCCCCCCCTCTTTGGGCCAACAGGGGTTTTTGCACATCTGGTCCGAGGTCTATGGTTCTGATCAAACCTGCTACAGATTCAGTTTTTACCAAATATCCTTCCAACGGTACAGCTTTAGGATGGACGTTTTATATGGACTTCATGTCTCCTTTTATTAAAAAAACTGAATAAACAGAATAAGCCGCTCCCCGTGGTCCACAGCTTGTCCTCTGGTCCAGATAAAGTCTTGAGCGGGTCGCAGCAGAACCTGGACCGCCCGGCTGTTTGTCTCTGAGCCCTCTCACCACTCCATGTGCGGGGGCTGCGTGTGGACCTGACTCGGGGTTCTGTACTCCGTGTGCAGCAGCTTGCTGGCCTCAGTGGAGTTCTGGCCCTGCAGCCAGTCCTCATACAGGGTCTTCAGGGCGGGGTTCAGTTCTGGCAGTCGGACAGGCAGGCTGCTGTAGACCTCCTCCATCTGCTGGACCAGAGCTTTATCCACCCGACCCTCCACCTCGCTCTCCGCCTGACCTCGGCCGCTCAGGCACCCTGCAGAGACGAGGGAGGAAAGGGAACGGTCTGACATCGCTAGATTCAACGAGTACCAGCGGGGGTGTGAAGTGGGTTTACCTCCGGGGCAGGACAGGACCTCCACCAGCTGGTAAGGGACACGCCCCTTCCTCATTCGATGCACCAGAGTCTGGATGTTTCGGAAACCGTACACGGCAGCAAACTGCAGCAGAGTTTCCCCGTCCCGCTCCAGCGTCACTTCCTGGAAGTCCCGGTTCCTGTTAACCCGCAGACGTTACGTCACAAACCGGCCACTGCTCAGCATCAAGTTTAAAGACGGGAAGACTTTGGACTTTTAAGGTGCTCCTGAAGTCAGTCAGTCAAAAACAGCTAAATGTTTCCATGTGCTGCAGGTTAAATGCTTCTTAATAAGATACCAAAGACTACAGTTTGTTTTATCTTGATGCATGCTCAATAATCCAGAGGACTTAACGTTGCCAGATAAAGATGGTTTTATTTTTCCTTCCAGTCACAAGAAGCCCTGAGCGGCGCTCCTCTCCTCAGCTGCTCTGGACATTAGTTTAGTTGTGGATTACCTAAACTTTAATGCTCGTAAAAAGGGACATGCAGGTTTATTTTAACAGCCAGTCATGGCTCATCTAACAGAGAAGTAACTCTCTTTTCAGGGTAACACAGTCCAAAACAAACATGCTACAAGAGTTAGCATGTTAGCAGGTGAAATATACATCGGCTGCTGCAGGCTGAGGCTAAGAGCAAATCATTTCAATGAAACAGCTGTTTGGTGTTTCAGATGACACCATGAACTCAGTACTTGTGAAGAAAATTATTTCAGCAGTGATCCGAAATATAATAACTAAAAATGTAACAGCTGATCACGTCTGTGCAGAGTTCAGGACTTCCATCACGCTGCGTTCTGTTCTCTCCTTATTTACGCCTGAGCGTTAAAATTTAAACTGACGATTAATAAATATTCCACCTGCATGTCAGTATGTGATTTTAGACAACATGTTCATTTTTCCAAATGCATTTTTAAATATTTATTTGAATGCTGTGAAGCAGAGCTTTATTTGCTCTGGTTGATGGAGCTGTTGGAGCGTCATGACGACTCTTATAAAATAATTCATAAGAAGACCTCTGACCTGAGGGTTCTGTAGGTGATTTCTTGCACGTCCAGACCAAACAGCTCTTTAGCGGCGTGTTTGAACACGTGCTCCAGGAAGCCTTCAGAGCCTCGACCGTCGTGCCTCACCAGCGCCGCGTCGCCACCGTCTCCCATCCTGCATGGCAGAAAAAACAATCGCTGATCTGTCAGCCCTTCAGTTTACTGGATTCACAAAGACAAAGTAAACAATCAGTGTCCCTGTCACTGAGGGATCTGAACAGTGAATGTTTGGAGTTTTAAAGACCAGTGCTTTTTCTGGACTGGACTTTTTTCTGGACTGGACTTGAACAGGGAATGTAAACCTAAATGTTTTTGGTGCAACAGTGTTCAGTGGGTAAGAGTTGCACTTTTTTTCCTCTTGTCCGAGGCAGCGCAGTGAACCTGGCGAGAGGAGAGAGTAATTTTATCCATCACCAGGTGCAGTGGAGGAGCCAAAAGGGGGGCCACTGGTGGCCTCCGTCCCCATACATTAATCTTTGGCCACCCCAATCACTTGAGGAAAGAACAATTTTTTCAACGATGGTCAACTTCAATATAACTCACATGATTGGTACAGTATGGGATAAAAAGTTAACAAAAAATTACACATTTTTAAAAAACTTCGAACAAGCGCCGCCATTTTGTCTTTCAATAAACCTACACTACAACACCAGTCAAAAGAACTACACTACCCAGAAGCCAACGGTGCTTTCGGCCGCTGCTTTCTGCTAAAATGGAGGAAAATTTTTGCAACACAAAGTCAGAAATAACGATCTATTTATTAATCTCATACTGGCAGGAAAGTCACAAATAATCCTGAAGCTCAATTATACACGTGCACATTGACCTGGACAGGGCGGTGGGCTTCGTCGCTGCAGGGCAGGTCTGCAGAACTGGAACTGAGCCGGACCAGAACTGAGCTGCTGGTCTGCAGTTGCAGTACTGTACAGTACATATACATATGTTGTTAAATGACGTAGGTTTAAGAGATTAGAACATTGTTAAGAGTGTGGGAAGGGTTTCTAAAGCCTTAAAATATTTATAAATACTAAAATAAATATAGCGTTCCTATATTGAGGTTTTTCACCTGTGGTGAAAGGATGTGTGGAACGTAACCCCGCGATAATCAAGGGACTACTGTACAGGACGGTGGCCATTTTGGATTTTGATGTGGCAACCCAATTTCGATAATGACCTTTCTTACATCTGGACGCAGCCACACACCAAAATGGAAGTCGGTACTTCACTTATTTTTCAAGTTATCGTGCTCTCAACGTGCACGGACAGACGGAGGGTATTTCCAATTCCCACGTTTCGCTCTGGGACAGGGGCAGTGAAGCTGAAACGATTGACATCGTTCAGAGTTGTTGTGAGCGGGTCGTGTTGCACCAGAACTCACATTTGGTCCAGTGCAACAGAGTCCAGCTCCTCCGCCGACATCTTCCTTCGCTCCATCAGGTGATAAATCTCTCCTGAAAAGGAAGCAAACTTTTATAAAACAAACATTAAGGAACTAAAAAAATGCTCCAGCTTCATCTTCTCAAGAATAAAAGCCGAAACTTTTAGTTACGTACACGTCAAGTTTTTGCCTCATGGCCTAATCGTATTCATGGTTTGGCTTGAAAGTGCTGCTAAAAGGCCGAGTGTTCGAGGAGCAACGGTGGTCTTCAGAGGATTTTAACTGGCACATCAAAGTTTGACCACATTTCTCCTGTTTTAGCTTATTTTAAAATTATCTTATTTGCTTTTAAAGCTCTTAATGGACTTGCCCTGCCCTATCTGTCCGAGTTGCTCCCCTCTGGACCCCTCAGGTCATGTGACCAGCTGCTCCCGAGTGAGCCGAAGACAAAGCGCAAGCTCAGAGGAGACCGGGCTGTCCCTTGTTAAACCATCTCTTCTCCCTGGTCTTTGTCGCCATCTGTGACGTTGACTTTTAATTACGGGTACTTTAATAATTCTTGATAGTTTGATTATTATATTACATGTGCAGCACTGTGGTCCTGTGGGTGTTTAAAGTGCTCTATAAATAAAGCTGGTCTGACCGGAGGATGTCCAGTTTGTCAACAAGTTTCATTCTTTTTAACAAGATCCTGCAACAAAAAACTGCAAAGAATTTGCAAATTTCTCCTTCAGTGCAAAAAATATTAAGAGTTATACAACTTCAAAAAGTTAACCCCCTGAAAGAAAAATCAGATAAAATGTCACCGTCTTATTTTGACAAAAAGTCTTGTAAAAGCTGCGAGCGACAGCAGGAACACGGAGCGACCTGCTGGAGGAGCAGAACCTTCTCTCAGCGTGATGGATGATGTCTGCAGGTTTATTTCGCTGCAGCTTTCCCACAATAAAGATGAACACTCAGCCTTCGGGGGGGGGGGGGGGGTGTCACAAACAGGTGGACTTAAAGCAGAAAGCTCATCCTGTTTTGATCATAACAACCTCATAATCTGGCAGCTGGGTGTCTGCGCACAACGTTGGAGTTTCTCACGACTTTTAATCAAGTGGGGGAAAAAAACACACACGAGGCTTAAAGAGGAAGTCGTCTGGATAAAACGTAATGCAACCAGAAATATTTTCATTCCATTTCAGGGACAGAGAGCAACAAGCCAGCTGTGGGAAAGAAACGGTCCATCTTACGTGAGGTGAGGACACAGTCCACGTCTCTGGTCTCCATCAGACTGTTGTAAAACTCTTCTCTCACGGCTTCCAGCTTCTTATCGAAGCAGGGCGCCACCACCACGTGATACAGCTGCTCTGGACTCAGCTTCTGTTAGGGAACAAAGACAAGGGAACTTTACTGCTCAGTCTGTCCTGGGGGGGTGGGGGTGTCAGTCTGAAACAGACTGTTCATATGAGACAACATGAAGTTATTCTGCTGGTGATGCTGGACTCAGAACGTCCATCAGATTTCATTCTGTAAAAAAACAAACCTGAAACAAAGAGCTGAAGCTTGAATCTCCTTTTGACTTAATTATGACTTTATTCACTTCTGCTGAATAATGCACCCCACAGAGAAACATCTCTACTCTCTGCCCCCCCCCCCCCAAATATTATTGACTTTTCCACATCCAGACATGTTTAATACTTTACATCAACTCTCTCAAGCCCAAATGATGCCGAGTCTGCAAAGTATCATGATGAGTAATTACGAGGCTGTTTCTACTGCACAGCTTTTACTCGACACCTAAATAATTCATATTATTTCATTTCAAGGCAACAGTCTGACCGCAGTGTTCATGTGTTTCAGATAAAGCAGCCATAACTTCTGTCACATGTTAGTGCAGTAATCCCTCGCCATTTCATGGTTCAACTTTCGCAGACTTGCTCTTTGGTGGTTTTCACGATGGTCAACTTTAATATTACTCACGTGATTGGGACTGTACGGGATAAAAAGTTAACAAAAAAAAAAAAAACTTCAAACAAGTGTGGCCATTTTGTAGTTTTCTTTCAATAAGCCTATGCCAGTCAAAGAACTACACTACCCAGAAGCCAACAGTGCTTCCGGCCACTGCTTTCTGCCAAACTGGAGGGAAAGATTTACAACACAAAGTCAGAAGTAACGATGCATCTATTACTCTCACAGAACTGGCAGTAAAGTCACAAATAATCCTGAAGCTCAATTATCCCTGGACGGGCTTCATGCTGCAGGGTAGGGTCTGCAGAACTCGAACAGAGCTGCTGTTCTATAGAACTGGTAATTAAATTTTGCAGTACTGTACAGTGTGAGTGTGTGTGTATATATATATATATATATATATATATGTTGTTCAAATGACATTGGTTTAACAGTTTAGAACATTGCAAAAATGTGAAGAGGGTTTGAAAACCTTAAAATATATAAGAACACTAAAAGAAATATAGTGTGCCTACTTCACAGTTTTCACCTATCATGGAACGTAACCCCCATGATAATCGAGGGACTACTGTAATCAACTGTGATCACATATTTATATGAACTCATGGATATGAATGTCATCTATTTAGGTTTTTATTGATTTATTTGAAGAAAAGCACAGTTCTTCATGAAAAGTCTTCACTTGATCCAAAATGCTGCTGCCAGAGTCAACTGGAGTTAGTGGGAGAGATCATATCCCTCCAGTTTTAGCTTCTCTCCATTGGCTCCCTGTCAAATTCTGAAATGAATTCAAAATCTTACTTCTAACCTACAAAGCTCTCAACAACCTAGCTCCATCTGATATTTGAGATCGTATTGTTCGATGTTTTCCCAACAGAGCACTTTGCTCTCAGGCTGCAGGTTTACTTGTGGTTTCTAAAGTTTCCAAAAGCAGAATGGGAGGAAGATCTTTCAGTTATCAGGCTCCTCTCTTGTGGAACCAACTTCCAGTTTCTGTCCATGTGGCCCTCTTCCTGCATCTGGAGGTGTCGATGTCTGTGATGGTGGGGAGACTGACTCCAACAGACTTCTGTGCAGCCTTCACCACTCTCTGCAAAGCTTTTCTTTCTGCAGCTGTGCAGCCTCCATGTGTAGATGAACAGATGCTGGCATATATTCATCATTTAACGCGGGTTCCTCATTTTTCTGGACTGAATAAAACGTGCATTGAATTTAAGGAAATGCAAACGTGAGACGTCATTTAGATTTGACCCATCAAAATGAATGCGGTCATTTATTTACAGAATCAAATTTAACATCAAACATGTACATTAATTTGGCAAATTATGAAAATAACAACAAAGCAATCAATCAGGAAAAATCATACGGCCATGATTTTTCCGTTGCTGCACCAAAGACATTTATGAAAACTGTACAACTATGATCTTTTGCCCACATGAATGTGGGTGAGCATTTTACACAGACATTTCTAAATATCTGGAAGAATTTCTACTTGATAGAAAAGTTTAAAGATGGAAAGAAGTTTAGAGGGAGTAAAGGATGGTGTGTGAGGGAAATTAAGTGTTCACCAGAATCGACACTCTCCGGCTTTCTTCAGTTTTTCCTTACAGTACACTTAGGTGATGAAATCGGCTCCTTTACCTGGAGATGTCTCAGGTGAGATTCCGTTTAACGCACCCTTTCAGCGTCTCAGTAGGATGCTGTTACTCGTCCGAAGTAATGGCGAGGCTCTGTTCGACACACATTCACCTCAGTGGAAAATGTTATAATCCCATGGAACTCGGAAGAGCTTTGTTGTCATGTCAGGAACTCCAACAGCACTCCATCAGAACTTTAGCTCTCGTGTAGTTTACAGAACTCCCACCGAACTGACTAGACCAGGAAGTACTGACATTTTAAAGACTCTTTCCCGGTTCACTTTTTGGGATTTGTTCATTGGTCAGAAACGACCAGACGGGGTGGGTTTTGTGACGTAAGAGGTTAGAGACAGCGAGAATTGTTATGAGGCAGATCAGAAATGTTCTCACAGACAGAGAGGGTTTTGTTTTGGCGTGTTTCAGGAAACAGGTGCAAAACATCTCTACTTACGTCTGAGAGGATTCTAAAACATGACAGTTTTAACATAACAACTTGTTTTTCGTTTGACTGTAACCTTGTAAACGCACACACTTGCTCATTCAAAAGCAGAAATCAGAAAATGCATAATTATTCTGTAACAGCTTTGACATGAGAATAAAAATCATTACTCAGTTAATAAAATTGATTAGTTCACTGCAACATCTAAAATGGTTTGAACTAAGACACTTTGATTATCAACATTTGTAAGATAGTAATGATAATAAAAAGAGAGTGTTCTTTTCACTTGAATCTTCAAGAAAGAAAGTCTCAGGATGGGTGAACCTGTATTTATGTATTCAAATACATGAAATGACAGTTCCTGTCCCACAAGGTTCTAAAGGTCAAGAGTTTTGACCCCAGACCCAGTTTCGACGTAGGCCTAGTCCACTACACATGCTACACGTTGATGCTGGAGCACAGGATGCTCTCCACTGCACACCTGTAGAAGGAGGTGAGGACTGAGCTTCCCAGACCAGCTCATCTCAATTGCCTGCGGAAGTAGAGTCTGATGAGCTTTCTTGATCAGGCTGGTGTTGTTGCTCCAGCTGAGGTTGTAGTTCAGGTGCACATCCAAGTACTTTAGCTGGAGACCACTTCCACCGCAGATCCTCTTATGTTCATGGGGGGTACTCACACACAGCCCTGAGGGGAATCAGTGTTGAGATTTATGGTGGAGGAAGAGAAGTTGTGGATCCTCACAGACTGTGGTCTGTTTGTTAAGAAGTCCAAGACCCAGTTGCAAATGGAGGGGCTTAGTCCTAGTGTGAGTAGTTTGTCCATCAGGGTTTGGGGGATCATGGTGTTGAAGACCGATGTAAAGTCCACAAAGAGCATACGGACATAGGAGTCCTTCTGCTCCAGGTGGTTTAGTGCAGTATGAACCACAGAGGAGATGGTGTCTTCTGTTGATCGATTCTTGTGGTGTGCATACTGATGAGGGTCCTCGTTGATGTTTGTTTTGATGTGGGTCATGACCAGTCTTTCAAAGCATTTAATTCAACTCAGTTCAGTTTATTTATATAGTGCCAAATCACAACAAAGTTGTCTCAGGGCACTTTACAGGAACATACACAAACATAAAAGCCAATTAGTAAAGTTCTCTATCTAAAGAATCCAGCAGACAAGTTGAATCTTGGCTTCGTCACAGTCTCCCATTCTGAGCAAGCACAGTGGCAACAGTGGAAAGGAAAAACTCCCTTTTAAAGGAAGAAACCTCCAGCAGAACCAGGCTCAGGACAAGCGGCCATCTGCTTTGACCGGCTGGTTGAGAGGACAGGAAGGAGAGACAGACGAACACATTTAGCGACTATCGGGGTGAGGGCCACTGGCCGATAGTCATTCAGACCAGTCACTGTAGAGCTTTTAGGAACTGGGATGATGGTGGCGTTCTTCAGGCAGGTGGGAACTGTTGCCAGGGTGAATGAGGTGTTAAAGATGTCGGCCAGCACCTCGCAGAGCTAATCGGCACATTCTTTCAGCACCTTCCCAGAGGGACCAGTGGCTTTGTGAGGATTAATCGTCCTGAAGGTCCTCCTTACTTCTTCTGAGGTCACGCTGAAGAACTCTTCTTCGATGGTGAGTCTGGTGCTGGGTGGTCTATTTGGGTCTTCAAAGCGTGCATAACCTTCATACTGAGAGATGTGCAAACCAAGGAAGACACCCCCACCCACTGTTCTAAAACTTAAGCAACACCTTCAGGCTCAGTGGTCAAGTCAAATGTGCTCTGAAGACAGTTTTGGTCCCACAAGACAAAAACTAAGCTGTTTGGCGAAGACAGGAAGTTTACTGATGTGAAGGTGACATGTCAGGCATGGCGGTGGTACCATCATGCTGCACCACACAGATATAAACCACCTCTAAATACTTCAGCCTTACCTCAAATCAACAGAAAGCTGAAACTTGGACAGAGTCCTGACAGGACAATCTTCCCAAACAGGTTAGATGTTTGTTACCTTTTATCCAACATGAGACAAGCAAACTGTTCTGGCGACACTTCGTTATTAAAAGCAAACTATAGAAACCAGGTTTTTCCCATGCTGTAGCTAATGAAGCTGGGTGTAAAATAAATGGCTTTCTAAGGAACGTGTGAAGTAACGCTGCAGTGTGAGCTACATTCAGCTGTAAATAAACAACAGAGCAGCGATGTCTTCATAACGTGTCTTCAGACTATTAAATATAATTTAATTTTAGAAACTCCTAACACAATCCTAGATCAGTCCAATGAGAATAAATGGTTCAGTCAGGTTAGTGACTATTTTCCAATGTGGGGTTCTGTGGAGTGGTTATCGACAGTCATTATCTTACCTGATTTTGGTTTGTAGAAACAGAGAAACTTATGGACGAGTCAAACTAAGACAGATTGAGGACATTTCAAACAAATCCATTGACAGTTTTTAGAGCAGTTTAATCTTTTCTTCCCTTCAGATCACGTTAAATCTGTTTTTCTGCTCAGTTAAAACGTTTTAATGTGTTTCACTGTTAGTAATGAACGCTGGACTGACTCAGTCTTCAGAGTCCAGAACCACAAATTCAACGTGAGTCGCTGCCCGATGATGATGATGCTCTTTAAAACTGACCTGACTGTGATTAGTTAGAATCAAATCATTAAAGCCGCCATCAGACGCAGGTAAGATGCTGACTGCTAACAACTCCACCAAACCAAACTTTAAACTGTGTTTCTTAAATCTCCTCTCTGATGATGTCACAGCTTCCAGCACTGATATTCATTTGCTTTAAGTTAAAACACCATTAACAAAAGTGCGTGATGTTAGCTCACCTGCTGTTTAGAGAAGTAATCTTTGACCCAACAGCCCATGATCTGCTGAGGAGACCTGGCTGTGCAGATATGAGGGGTGACCAAACTGCCCAGCACACGTTCTGAATAGCGAATCCAACCTGCACAGGAACACAGGAGAAACAGCTCAGGAAGAAACTTCATCCATAAATACACCAAACCTCGGTGGCTACTCATTCCTTCTTGCATTTTATTTCTGTCACAGCGTTACGTAAAGATGTAAAACCTCTGTCTGACGATCGTTTAGGTACAGTACAAGGCAAGGCTCTGGTTCTGCAGCAAACTACAGCAAGTAATACACGTGGAAATGATAAAAAGTACATTTTAATAAAGTCCTCATAATTAAAGACAGGGTTAGAAAACAAGGAGAAAAAGTCTGAGACTGAGACAGTTTGGACATATGCAGTGGAGGGACAGTGGACATACTGGACAAAGGATGCAGACTACTGAGCTGTCAGGGACGAGGAGAACACTACAGATGTTTACAGATGTGGGGTGAGATAATGTGCTGTGGCGGCCCAGAGAGGAGCAGCTGAATGAAGAAGAGTCCTATCTGTGCTGAAGGGAGTGGTGAAGAACGAGCGGCCTATCTTTCTCCTCCAGCTCTCATCATTATCTGCGCTTCTACAAACACCTCCTCCTGTCAGCACGTGCACATTAACTGTGTACAACAAAACACCTGCAGCAAGACGCTAAAACAGAAATCAAAAAACCTAGAGAAAATACTTGGATAGAAGAAGAGCGGGATTTAAAATCTAAAGGAAAAATAAAATACATTAAAGCAGTGCAACTCAACTAAACTGTTCAGGGGCCACAGTTACTGAGGGACAAGAGCGAGGGGCCGGACATCCAGCAGGTAGTGTCGTTAAGTTGGCTTTCCGGTTTCAAATCTAGTTTTATTTAAAAATGAATTCCTTGGTGGGCTTAACTGAGCTCAGCCGTGGGCCAAACACTAGTTGAATAGGATTAAAGGATAAAAGGTAAAGAAATGTTTTACCTGGGCACGACGACGTAAACATGGGCAAGGCATGGGAGTCGTGATGTCTCCTGCGGTATCTCTGAGTAAACTCTTTCTGCGTCTCTAAGATGCTGAAGCCTGCTGCCAGCGTGGTGTCGAACACAAACGTTACTCCTGCGGGGAAAAAACAAACAAACCAGAGGTGAAAACCAGCAGCAGGACCACTGAGGATGGATACAAAACAATACACGCATCGCTGGAAATAAAACAACATGTATAGCTGGTGTATTTTTTTGGTGGCAAAATGGATGAGACAGGAATAAGAAAAGAAGAGCAAACACCCAAATCTTCTTGAAAACAAGCGTTAAAGGAGATTTCACGTTAAAAGTCCCGTTAGCTCACCCACGTGCTTGAGGAAGCTGCAGAGTTTCTGTGCAGCTTCGTTGATGCCCACACCAAACTTGACGGCAAAGAAAGGCAGCGACTGCGGACATAACGACGCCACGAGCACCTTGTGCTTCGACGCGTCGCACCTCTGACACGAACGGAAAAAACAGAGCCAACGTGAGCGATCGCCCCGAAGTGCAACAAGACACCGGCAGTCTCAGGTTTCTCGGGCAAACTTTGCGTGCCGTGCACCTTATTCAGGGCCAAAACGCGCTCCACTTCCTCCAGATTCTGCTGAGAGATCTTCAGGTTGTCCTCTTCAGAGAGACAGCCGTCACAGGAGAGACACGCGCTCAGCAGCAACTGGGACCCTTCGTCCAACTGAAAGGAAGAGATTGACTCAAATCACTAATCTGTAATCTCTACCTACAACAGAAAACTTTTTCTTTGTTTACAACCAGAACAGTACCGCTCTGTGACAATACACAGAGTCAGATACACAACAGCAACAAGACCATCCTGGTATTACTGCTTACTAAGCAGACACTACAGAGAGGCCAGACTGAGATGGTTTAGACATGTCCAGGGGAGGGACAGTGGGTATACTGGTAGAAGGATGTTAGAAATGCAGCTGCCAGGAAAAAGACAAAGAGGAGATATATGGATGCAGTTAGAGAGGACATGGAGGTAGTTGGAGTGAGGACAGAGGACAGAGATGGAGGAGGATGCCTCGCTGTGGAGACCTCTGAAGAAGAAAAAGAAGAAGCAGACATTACCTGCCCGTTGACTTCCTCGCGGTCTGCGTTCGGTACGGCACCATCCTCGGTCTGCTTCTTGTTGCACTGCGGGGATTGTAAATTCAGCTCAGAGACAAAGACGAGACCTTCCCAAAGACAGACTCGTGGGAACCGTTTCAGTACCTGCTTGGTGCAGTTCTCACACTTGTCCTTGCGCTTTGCGATCTTGACCTCCGACATTTTCCTTGAAGCTGACAGAGAGCGAGACAGAGAGCGAGACAGAGAGCGAGACAGAGAGC